ATTCAATGAGGTAAGTTGAGAATCACATTGTTGTTGTTAGGTGTTGTTAAGTTGAAAACGACCCACACTGACACCATGAACCATAGATCTGAACCTTGTCCTAGCCTGTGCGGATCTCACACTTCCTGACACACTCAAGCCCGTTGCAGCCGTCACTGTGTCCATCCACTGGTTAAAGTTCTTCCTCTCTGTCACCAACCCTCCACCTTTCCAAGCATGATTTCTCTTTCCAAGGAATAGCTTCTCTTAGCAACATGCCCAAAGTATATGAGACAAAGATTTATCATCTTTGCCTCCAAGGAGCACTCTGGCTGCACTTTCTCCAAGACATATCTGTTTTTTCTTTTGGCAGTCAGTAAGGCTACTCAATACTCTTCTCCAACACCACAAGTCAAAGGCATCGACTCTTCTTTTGTTTTCCTCATTCATTGTCCAGCTCTCAGATGCATAACATGCAGTAATGGAAGTTCCCAGGTGGTCTGAGAAACCTCCAAGGAAGAATGCTGGGTAGAGAGTCTAATACAAACACCTGGTGGTGAAAGGGAGTCTGTCACTTTCTGAAACCACATGGAGTAGTACAATTTAGGAGAAAGGAAGTATATGGAGGATTCTGACCTAGAATCCTAGGGGTTTGGAAGGAAGCAGAGCCTCCCTGTGAGACGACTGCAGAGAGGTGCTCATGAGACAACTTGGTTGCTATGATAGATTTTGAGGGTCTAGAAGAGACAAACTTAAGAAAAGAGACACATTGACTCATTATGGGCCTTTAAGAATAGCTGAGGGGGTAGAGGAAGAGGAACAATGGGAGTGATACCAGTTACCATTGAATCTATTTCAATTCATGAAAAACTCAAGTGTGTCATAGTAGAATTATGTTCCATTTTTTAGAGTAGGTCTTTCTTATAAGATACATCTTGGTAGACTCAAACCTCCTACCTTTCAGTTAAGAACCAAGAATTTTAACCATTTGCACCATTCAAGTACTCAAGGGATATTGAGTAGGAACAGGGGTAAAAATAGAACATCATGAAGAAGGCGCGACAGGAGAGGTTAATTATCCAGAGGGACTGTTATAATATCAGTCAGTGATCTCAAGGACAAAGCTGTGACTCTGGTGAGATTGACCCCTGAATTCCAAGCAGAACTGTAGGTTCTGGAGGCTTCCGGTGAGGACACAGGCTAGGGGAAACAGAATAGCAGATGCTAGAAGTAGAGATTGTCTGCCTAGTAGAAGCTTTTGTAACTGGTATGGGGAATAAACAAGAGTAAAATCCTAAAAGCAACTTCCTTAAGCAACTGGTCCATAAGTTTGCCCAATGAGGTTAATTCTTCCTTATAGTTAGATTAAAATTTGGACAGTTTTATGGGATTTCTAATTACAATTAAATATTATAAATCCCTGCTGTCACCTTAAATGTGAGAATAGCCTCATTTAAGAAATTATTCATAGATTATGATGGTTGGAATTATTCATTATTCAACACTTCAGTTTTCATTGGTAAGTAAGACTTCTCTGCAGTGTTCTAGGGCTGATTTCTGGGGTGGCCTTCCTTGGGAAAGCAGATAATGCCAGCTTGCTTTGTTTCCACTCACCTTCTCCTCCTTCCCACTTAAGCAGTTCAGCTTCAGCCCCCAAAAGCTCGAATGCCAAGGGAGAAGGATAAATCAGGGAGCAGGACCGTTTAGACTTGACTGGAACTCTCCTAAGCTGGCCCTGGCTCTCTGGGTTGAGCCAAGCTTAAGGCTCACTCTTCCCTGTGGATGGTTTCATTGCTGATTTGCAGTTTCTTTAATATTGAGAGCCTTCCCTTTCCAGGCTTGACTCAGGCATTGTTTTCTTAATCAGTAGGACAACTGAGTTACTCTTAGCTTCTACAAGTTAAGTAGAAAAATTTCAAAATCTGTCTACCTTAGTAGACAAGCATTTTTAATAGATTTCTTCCTGCCTTTCCTACTCTCTATCTTCTTAGATCAAAGAAGCCATTAGAAGGTAATCTTCTCTAAGTGACTCTGGGTCAGTGATATGCATATGGTTTCAAAAGGCAGATTGAATTGAATGTGCAAAGACCAGGAGGTAGAAAACCAAAAGGGAAGACCTGCCCCGTGTTTCTCAACCTGGAAAAACTGAAGAACAATTCAAATCTTGAGTTACAATACTGGAGGAATCTAGGGACAACACAATGAATAACACATGAAGCATCAAAATAAGATGGAAAGAATACACAGAGTCATTGTACCAGAAAGAATTCTATCTTCAATCACTGTAGGAGGTAGCATACAATGGAGTCAATGCAGGGTTGCACAATTCAATGGGTGGGGGTTGAAGGAAATGGGAAGGAACTTGTGTGGAAAAACAACGTATTTGAATTTTGTAAATAAATCAGTATATTAAAAGAAGAGTCAATTGTACTGAAGGAAAGAATCCAAATTATACGGACAGCAACGACAAAAATTCAGGCCCTGAGAATTAACAGATACCTACTGAGGTGTTTTAACAAACCCTCAATGCTGTCAATGCTGTTCCTAATTTCCTTGCCCCACTTGATTATCCCATAAATTCATTCACCTTTGAGTGTGAATGGCTCCATATAGAGTCCAAACTATGTCTCTGGCCCAGGGGAATCTAAACCCCTCACATTTTCTGGTGCCTGACTGAGATTTGGCTCCATTGGAGGTCATCCCAACCTTCTTCTCAATGCCAGCAGCTGCAGGTTTTCCTTGGGGCACAGCATGGCTAGTGCCTCATCTTCTAGACCAGGGTTCCAAGGTGGCTGGATCCTACCTTTTACTTTCTTGTCTCAAGAAGGGAAAGGACGAGAACCTGGCTCCCACTCAATAGTTCTGTTATTCTCTAGAATGCTGAAGGGAAATTGGTTCTTCTACAACAGAGTTCCCCACCTTGACTTTGGGATATGTGCGCAGGGAGTGAACTGTGAGTGGATGCTTATATGTCTGAGATATCCGAAACACAACAATTTCAGGAGGACCGTGTGGGGCTGGCTTCTAGGCCACTGAAGCCGATCTCTTCAGTGATAGTTTCTCCACATGGACTCAAAGGGTTCACAGAGGATCTTCCGGGGCATGTTTCAACCTCACTGAGACTGTGAAGCAGGCAGGGCACAGGTCGAGGACACCCTGACACACTTCAGAAAAACTGCCTAAGGCCACTGTCCAATTTACTTGGAAGTGCAGTTAAGACCAGAAACCAGGCTGAGCTCTCAGGAGAGTTTTTGCCTGGACCACTGTTCTGTGCCCTTTTTAAGTGAGGTATCTTGAATCAGTGACTGGGGTAATGGGAGTAGGTGTGTCAGAGGCACTAAGGTTGGCACAGGATAGAGCAGGGTTCAGAGCTGTTGTACATAGGGTTGCTGTGAGTCACAAGCAACTCAACAACACATAAAAACAACAGCAACATCCTGAATCATCTCATTCATAACAGCACAAGAAAGTATAGACAGTTTCAAAGCAAAACAAACAAACAAACATCAATCTTTATAAATTATGTATCTCTAGCATCCTATGAAAATCTTATGTATTTAACCCAATGAAATTGGGGAAAGCCTCGAATTTATTGCCTGAGAATAATCTTCAAACCTGGTATCTAAAACTATTTTAATGACAACTTTTTTAATTGGAACAGTTTAGATCAATTAATGCATAATGCTGACTGGTCTTGAGAATTATGTTTATAAAAAGAATATATATGTGAGCCCAATCTGACAACTGTTAATCTAAAGCATAGCTGGGAATTTCATGGAAAAGAGATTAAATTAAGAGGATATAGCACTATGGGTAGATAGTGGGAAAGGTGACATAGGTGCAGTATGTAGCCATTGTCACTGAACTGCACACATGAAATTGTGAACAAATGTGTATTTGGTTGTGTATCTTGTCTAGTGGCTAAAGAACTGTGCTGCCAACCTAAGGCAAGTGGTTCAAATCCACCAGCTTCTCTCTGAGAGAAAGATGAGCAATCTCCTCCAGTGTGATTTAGAGCCTCTGAAAACCCATTGGAGGGTCAGCTATGAGTTGATCTCAACTCAACAACAATGAGTTGAGATTTGTAGATGCTGCTACTCTTTTTTTAAAATTAAAAAAATGAATTCGTTTCAAGCCAATTCAGACTCACGGGGATCTCCTATGTGTTAAAATAGAACTGTGTTCCATAGAGTTTTTAACGACCAATTTTCTAAAATAGTCTATGGGTGGACTTGAACCACCAACCTGGTGTTAGTAACTGAATTATTAACCTTTTGTACCTTCCAGGGACTCCTGAGCAAGGCATCAGAAGATGCAAATTCCAAACCTGTAAATCTGGTTCTATGCTGCTCCAAAACATAAGTCATTTTCTTTCCCCGAGCCTCAGTTTTTCTACAGTGTGAAGAAAAAGAAAATGACATCTCCAACTCACTACGTTAGTGCTACCCACCATATCTCCAACTCAAAATGTTAGACATAGTGGGTACCAAGAGTTTTGAAAGGGCAGTAGTAGGATTTCCCCACTTCTCCCTGTTTCCCTCCCACTAGCTGTAAGAAGATATATGCTGACTACTAAGATCTCAGCTTCACCTGGACCTTTCTGTGTGGCTTTCCTTTCCCTGGGCCACACTTTCGCCTCCACATGAGCAGGAACTTGAACACCTTGATTTCAGATGTCCTTCCCATCTCAGAGCTGAGACTCTTCACCTTTCTTCTAATCCTTCCTTGGAGGAAGAGGGGGTGGGGAGAGTATTTGCCTGCATGTGGATGTGTATGCAAATATGTGCATATGTGTATGTGTGTCTCTCTGTGTGAGTGGTGACATGACAGCTGGCGAGATAAAGTCTTATAAAGGATGGGAGGGGCATTTAGGAGAAAGGGAGTGGTCAAGACTTTTTGTGACAATGGGACTCAGAGCATTCTCAGCAACTAATAGTGCCTGGCACTGTTTAATCATTAAAGGAAAGGAATGAATCCTGGAGCACCTCAAAGTCCAACCTGGCAGTGACTGACATTAACAGATGAGCATGGGGCTGGCAGCAATGGTGCCTGGAGAGTCAGGACAAACAGACAGAGCTGAGACAGAACCACGATCGGCAATGGACTCTGGGGCCAGCCTGCATGCCTATGACATCACAGTTGTGGTCATCTACTTTGTCTTCGTCATTGCTGTGGGCATCTGGGTGAGTAGGCCTGGAGGTTGAGGCCTGCTTGGGCAGACAAAAACAGGCTGTTATGATTGGCTCAGTTATAGACTTGGGAGTAGGATGAGTGGAAGGAAGTCTTTTCTAAAACTCTGGGATTAATATGTCCATAATGAAGGGGGCTCAGCAAACCTCAAAATTCTTCTGTTCCTTATTATCCACAGGAAACTTGGTATGTTTTACAGGTGCACAAGTTTGTTAATATAGTAAACCTCTCCTGGGCCTCAGTCTTCTCTCACCTGACTAATCAAACTACCATAGAACTGTTGTGACCATTCAGTGACATGAGGCCTATATACACAGGCATAGTGCTTAGCACAAAGCAGGAAATACATGATTGATATCTCACCACCATAAAATTCTGGAGCGACGCCAGCACCTTTAGACCTTGTGAACCAGACTTTGATTCAGGTCCCAGCTGATCACTTATTGGCTATGGCAAAGTTAGTGATGCTCTTTGGGCCTCAATTTCCCCAAGTGTAGAGTGGGATGAATAACCCCTACCTTCCAGGCTGCTATGAGGAGGAAATAAGAAGAGAAGATCATTGACTCCTTGGAAGCAGCCACTCATGAAAAGCACTGCTTCTCCATGATGTGGGACAAGACCCGTTTGTGGCAGTCTCAATTTCCTCATAAGTAAAATGGAATCTTTTCCACTTTTCTAGCCTCTTAACAAATCAGAAGAGACATCAGAATTTTGAAAAACAGCTTAAGCATCAGGTCCTACAGGTCTCAATCTAAAAACTAATGTTTTGGTCACCCACGAGGCGGTGTTTAATTCTGTTATACTTGTGATTATTGTGAATCAGTCTAACTACACAGCACCTCCAAACAACAGTAACTATCTTCTCCTTCGAGAAGAGAAGCTTCTTGACAAATTTCTCCTTTCTTTTAAGTAATCTTCCCATCTTCAGACTCAACCAGAGCACTGATGGCTTAAGCATTTTAAGAACGATTTTGTGTGTCTATCCCTCCCCGTTGTCCTACGCCCCAGAAAAACCTTCTTCCCTCCCACTATCCTTTCATTCCATTCTCTCCAGATCAACTCTACAAACATGGACACTATAGACCACTTACTGGTGAAGGACAGGATGTACTCTCCAGATTTCTCAATGGGAATAAGTGCCCAGATCTGGGTAACAGAAGCTCCCAAACAGTGCCTCTCATTCTGCCTGGCATCCAAAGTCGGGAATGCAGGCCTCTCTGTCACCCTTGTTTTCAACTGTAAAAGGCCTGTCCGAGGAGGAGAAAAGGAGATAGAGGAGAACGTGGTCTCCTGTAAGCCACAGTATAAATGAGAACGAGACGCAGTAGCATCTCCTGAAAGCCAGAGCTGGAAGGAAAGTATAATAAGGCAAGAGTGTCCAAGCACAACAATCTTTTTTCCCCCCAAATCATTTGGTTTTGGTGTGGGTTTGTTTTTTTTTTTTTCAGTTGGTTTGTTTACAAAGTTTGTGTACACTGTGTTTCACACTATTCTTCATTCACATTGTGTTTCATACAATTATTCTCATTATGTTTTACAAACTTAATCACCACTGGACCTTGTCCATCATTACCCTGTCTTTTCACCCAGATCTTTCCAATTTCCTTCTGCTGCCTCCTTCCACCCACCAAACTATGCAACCCTGTGGTTTCACCCCTACCCATCCCCGTCCCTCCACTCCCACTCTTCTCCCCCTATTGAGTTCCCATACATGTTTTACTAGTTGTCCTTCTATTTTTACAATAATGGTCTTGAACAGTATTTATCCCGACGAAACTGAGTTAGTTCACTCAGCATACTCTTACACAACATTTTGTCATGCCTGTAGCCTTTCTATAGTCTTCATCTCTTTTGTTTTTTTGTTTGGGGAGATGACGGCTGAGGTTTAGTGACTCTCTCAAAGACACATGGCCTGGAATGGTGAATCCTATATACTTCACCAGTTCTCTTTGATTCCATATCCTGCCCTTTGTGACCCCATGCTGTCCCCTTTGAAGGACAGGTAATCTGGGTGGAGGACAGAGGTAGGGAGAAGTCCTATAAATTCTCATCTCTCATTCTTTATTTTTCAGTCATCCTTTCGTGCAAGCAGAGGGACCATTGGAGGCTATTTTCTAGCAGGGAGATCCATGAGATGGTGGCCAGTAAGTTGATCTTTCTCCTTCCTTTCTGTCCTCCTTTACTGACCAGCCTCAGTCCTCATTTAATCATCTCATACATCTCTTACTGCATTTCTTAAGTCTAGATTCCTTCTCTTCCAACCCAACTCCATCCTGAAACCTGAATGGACTTGTCAACACTCATCCTGAACAAGTATCCACTGAGCCCACTGTAGACCTTGTTCATAGTTGAGCAGAGCTAACAGATTCATAAGCACCAAGGTCGGTGCTGAATGAGAGGGAAGCACAGGGCTTTATGAAGGCTTCATCTCCTAGACAGTGAGCCGGGGAAAGATGGGCTTGGGAAGATGGTGACGCGTAAGCTTAATTTAGAAAAACAAGTAAATGACAGAAATGCAAGAGCTTAAATCCTCAACAACCTAAACTAATTGATCCTCAAGCTTTTATGAAACCCACTTCCCACCCCCCACCCCAATCTACTATCTCACATGTTTCTTTTGGGTTTCAGAATAACCTATGCTTCCTGGAACAATGGTTGGGGGTAAGCCATGCCTGGGAAGTGAGCAAAGGAATTTTCAGTCCTTATTGGTAGTTACACATAACAACAATATTTCTAGTTAAAGTTGTATGCATGGCCAGTCAGTCATGTCAACCAACACTCAAGACATATGTGTGTGCACACACATACACACACACCCATTTCCCACTTCTTCCCTTTCCTTTTCGGTTCTCACCGCCTTTCCTGCCTACAAAAGTCAGAGACTTGCTAAAGAGTAGGAAAACATCAGGAGGCCTACACAGCTTTCCGAAAGATTGTGCCCTTGGGTTAAAAGAAGATGGAGCAAAGGTTCTCATAATGTACAGCATGGTTGAATCATCAAGGTTGCAAGAATTTCATACGGCTGGAGCTGCCAGTCATCTTCTCATTTAAAAATTCTGCTAAGTTGGCACCGGCCCAAAGTCACAACCTTAGAGTTGAGTCATTGAGAGAGAAACGAAGCAGGGCAACAAAGAACTCTACAGGCCCATTGGAATAGTGGCCGGGGGGTGGGGTGGGGGGTGGGGGGGGGTTGGATACTGAATGAATGCAGAGAACAGAGCTCTGTCCCAGGGTGGGTAGGGGGACGTGAAGCAGGGGTGACTTTCTCAAGTTCTGCTGTGGCAAACAGCTAAGATGTGCCCCTGATGGAAGGTGAGGGTGCTCGTGCCCATTCTCAGGTGGACAGTGGTTGTGAGTTGCCATTTCCTGCACCTGAGATCAGGATCCTTTCTGAGGCCAAAATCATCATCTGAAGGAATCTGCTGGAACTCATGAGTTATATGTATCACAGTCCAAAATCTTTGAAGCTTTCCCTGCTTGACCACTGTCCACTTCCACTCCCCTTGCCAAACATCTCATGTGTCCCTGAGTTATGAATTCTAGGTTGGATAGGAAAGAAAGTATTTCCTGTCTAAGACCATCTGGGGGAAGCTTCCTCCTCTGAAGCATTAGATTAAGTGTCCACTCTTCTCAAAGATGGTCCAGCCTGACCCTCCCAGCCTCCTAAGCATCACCTGATAGCCCAAATGTGGAGGCAGGGTGATGGTGGTAGTACAAAGGCCTCCTTAGCAACCTCAGGCTGGTTGGTACCTCTGTGCCTTTTAATGAGCTATTGTTTCTTGCCTGAATTGCTCAGGGATTTCCATGCTTTCTCACTGTCTATTTCCTAGCATCTTCAGAACAACAGGCAGTTGGAAAGAAATGAGTCCTCATATTTAATGGGTGAGGAATCTGAAGCTCTGAGAGCAGAAATGATTCCATTAGGACAACACAGCTGCAAGACCTGATCATAGTTCATCGTTGTAGCCCCCAGTCAAGTGTGCCCTTGCCATACATAATTCACTCCATGCCCCAAAGGTCTCCCTTTTGTCTGTTCTTACGCCTCAGAATCCCTTCCTCCTTCTCCCTCTTTGCAGGGATGCCATCTACTAATAAGTAATAGCACCGACTGACCATTGTTCTCAGTCTTTATGTTCTATTCATTCAAGACTCATTTTTGTGTGGTTACTACAGAGTCTAACTTCCAGGCTTTGAACCCATGTCCTGTCACTTGTTAGTTCTGTGACTTTGAGAAAGGTGGTTAACGTTTCATTGTTTCCGTTTCTTCATCAGTAAAATAGAATTAATAACAGTGCTCCTCTCATGGGGTTCCCATGAGGACTGAGTCAACATGTATATTTAAAATAGTACCCAGCAACTGGGTATGAGTGGTCACTGCTATGATTGTGTTTGCTATCTTTATTGTTTAAATTAGCACAATTAAATGTTCTGGGATTCCCATTCTTCTCAGAGTCAGCCACAGTTTGTTATGATCCACACAGTCAAATGCCTTTGCATA